CAGCAGAGCACTTGCTTTTAGAGTACATGTTTTGCGCTTCCGCCATTAAATTAAAGCTGGAAGTTCAACAGGTTCTTTTCTACTTTTACTGTAATTGTAACACCTGCTGTGTACCAAGTCACACTGCCCCACACCAACAAACGGACTGAGGAATGTATAATAGCTGGTGGGCCACATAGGTGTTACCGTAAAGTGAAGGGGAAAGACTAGAAAAAGGCGTTCTGAGAGGAAGTGAAAGTGAGTGTTTGAGGTAATGAAGCAGAATAGCTTTGCGGTATGATTCAATGAGGTGGAATTGGCTCAGTATCAAACCCACACACTTGCATCTCTACCCTTCTCTGAAGAAGAACAAGTGGCCAAGTCTGTGAGAAAAATGGCAGCTGTCATTAAAAGTGACATAAGGCTGCCCTGCTACAGTCTGCAGTGACACTGGGATCCATCCAGGCAGATCTGGCACAGCGCAGTCACTTTAAACAACAACCTCCAATTTTAGAACTGAACACCGTGGCCTTCAAGGGACAGATCACGCAAAAAACACAGACCCCTGTCATCATTTATTCAGTCTCATGTTGTTCCAAACCTGTTTGACTTGCTTTTTGTGGTAAGTAAAGCATGCAAGATGTTATAGCTGGCCAAATATTTGCATTTATTTATTTGTTTGATTGATTGATGGATTGATTGATTGAAATCTTTGCTTTTTGTTAGGTGCAAATAGCAAACATTAGTTGAAGGGTTATCATGTGTCAAAACTTCAATTCTTCAAACAGAAAGCTTTTCTGTCATTTGGCATTTCAATTTTTGCACCACATTATTCAGAAAATAAATTGCAAGATGATTATAAGCCAAAACACCGAAACTGTGTGTGGTTTTAAGCTAACATAAATAAATAAATAAATAAATAAATAAATAAATAAATAAATAAATAAATAAATAAATAAATAAATAAATAAATAAATAAATAAATAAATTTTTCCCAGAGATGGGTTGCAGCTAGAAGGTATTTGCTGCGTAAAACATGTGTATGATAAGTTGGCATTTCAGTCCGCTGTGGTGACCCCAGATTAATAAAGGGACTATGCTAAAAATAAAACAAATAAATAAATAAATAAATAAATAAATAAACAAGCAGGCGTATAGAAATTATATTTCATCATTTCATTCAGAAATTATGTTAATAATTAGAAATCCTATTGTAACTAGTAAACTAAATATTTACTAATTTAAAAACATTTTTTTTTCTATTCCACAGTAATCACATTGCATTTTGCCATATTTAGCAGTATAAACAGGAATTATTATGGAATTCACTATAATAATATTGGGCAACAAAACATGATTATTAATTCATTTTCCCTTGCCTTTGTCCCTTTGTTTATTAGGGGTTGCCACAGCGGAATGAACTGCCAAATTATCCAGTATGTGTGATGATGGTGGTGGTTAAGACATGGAGACAGATTAGATCCAAGTGCAAGAAGTTTAATAGTTCTCAGCAAACAAATCACAAAGCTGAATCATAGTCGGTTAAGCATGCAAGATTCAGAGTAACCAGGGATAGGCATTAAAATGTATTTTTAAATAATATACCAAATACATTAATTTTATGAGCATCAAAATAAACAACAAAATTCAGAAGCCACAACTAGTATCAAAATAAAATACCGTATTTTTGTATTTCGAAAATACTACAAAATACTTTATAAGGGAGCATGACATTTCTTCGCAAAACTTCAATCAATAGGCATATTCGATTAGTCCCTTCACCATTACTTTGTGTAGTAAACAATGATTGACAGCAACAGCGTTTCTCTGTGTAAGTTTAAGTCAGCTTCTCTGCCAATCCATTCAACTCTACTCCTGTACATGAAGAGGTATTAATAAACTTTTATTTCTCTTTGATTTTGGTATGCATTTTGTTCAAATTCCATGCTCTCTTTAATCACTGTAAAAAAAAAAAACTTGTAATGCAGAAAATGTGTTGCAACATTGTACTGTATCTCTTTATTGTGTTTCCATCCATTGCATTGCCAGTAAAATTGACACCATCCCTTAGTCTTACATTTTAAAAGGATGATATATAAAGATGCTGTTTTTTTTATTTTCAATATCAAATAATATAACAATTATTTTTTTGTTTGTTTTTTTAATTTGTTTGTTAATGTAAAACATCATTTCTAAAGTTTCATTTCTTAATTTTTGGTCATTTCAATAAATCATGTTTTTTTTTTTTTTGCAATTGCACTCTACAATGCACAACCTGCAGATCAGCTACTGGCATCTGAAACAGCAAATGACGCACTGTAGGTATCATCACTGTAGGGCTTACTTTAATGTTGTTTGTCTTATTTTCTTAGCATCTACATCTGTAATCCATGTAAAGCTACTATTGTTTGTGCACTCTCCAACATTCCTTCTTTTACTTCTTTAACTGGAAGTGTCGCTGTTCACCCCCTTAGTGAGCACAAGTGAACCATCTTTTTTTTTTTTTTTTCTGAACTTCCTTTGCATTTCCATCTGCAGCACTGAGACTGAGAATGATTATATGCTGTTGGCTCTGTATTCCTGTTTTTGGACTGATATTTTATTCCATCTAATTTCCTAAGCAGAGATGCTGATGACTTGTACACTCTACTGTCATTATATATGACTGGTTGCTTTGTGCAGTATTGTATTACTAATGGTTGTGGATTTGCTCGCAAATATACCCCGTCATTTGTCTGTTATTGTCTTTATGAGTGATACATACAGTACTTTCCATCCATAAATTTTCTGTTCTGGTGTCAAGCCTAGGCAAATAACTGAGAAAGCACCAGTCAGAGGCTGCATTTTTATAATGTCATCATGTAGACATCTTACAAAGTACTTTACAGTATTTAAAAAATACAAGATACTACAGTATTTGGATAAAGTGGTGAAAACAGTAATGAAAAAAAAAAACTTCAGTAAAAGTACTACTACTTGCCTAAAAATGTCATGCAAGTAGAGTAAAAGTATTCGTTGTAAGTATTACTCAAATTTTGAGTAAAAAGTAGACCTTTCAAAAGTATTCAAGATTATTGAGTATTTAGCTGTAAAAAGCTGATGCATTTACATTTAATTTGTGGATGTGTGTAAACGTAACATTCTGTTGTGAATTTAGTTATTGCTCAGCAGGCACACAATGTCATAAGATGCTAATATTAGGTTAGATTTATTAGGTTGTGATGTCAGATGAACAAAATTCAATGTCTAGCCAGCGTCTAAGGACAATCTTATTTTGATGTCCAATAAGGACTTCAAATGATGCTTATATTTGATTTATTTTAGGTTATGTTAGAAAGTGACTTAAATCCAACTTCAAGCTAGCATCTTAAACCAATGTCATATTGACATCAAAAAATGACATTTATTCTTCAGGTATGGCAACCAAAATCCAACATCTGATAGATGCCATAGTGGTAACATCCACTACATTATTAGATGTTGATATTTATTTGACTTTAGGTTGGATGTTTTCTAAACCTCATAGACAAGAAAAAAATAAGTTGTGACTGCAGGTTGTCGGAAAGTAGCGAAGTAAAAGTACCAATACAGCACTTAAAAATTACTTTCCCCAAAGTACAAAGTGCACATTTTTAAAAGTGCTTGGTAAATTACAATTCCTGAAAAACTACTTAATTACAGTAGTATGAGTATTTATGTAGTTTTTTACTTTACACCACAAGTTATTTGTCATGCTTAGCACAGTTAGTTGCCCTGGTGAGTCATTGTATCTTCCCCTTGTTATCGCATCTGCTTGATTAGCCTAATTGCTGTCACCTGCATAAATAGCCCTTGTGTTTCAGTGAGTGTTTGTCATTTGCTCTCTGTGGGTTGTAGTCCTGTTTTTGTGTGTGGCTCTTTTGTTTCCATGTCTTTCGTTTTATTTTCAATAAACATTTTCCTCATGGACCATTCTTCATGACACTAATGCTAGATGGAGCCTTATTATAAAAGGCTGCATATAAGTTAACATAATTTTTTTTTTTAATTTAGTTAATATATGTAAAATTGAGGAAGTACAGTGGCTCAGTGGTTAGCACTGTCACCTCACAGCAAGAAGATCACTGGCTAGAGTCCTGGCTGGGCCGGTTGGCATTTCTGTGTGGAGTTTTCATGTTCTAGCCATGTTGGCATGGGTTTCCTCCGGGTTCTCCAATTTCCACCACAGTCCAAAAACATGCAGTATGGGATAATTTCATAAACTAAATTGGTTGTAGTGTATGAGTTTGAGAGTGTATGGGTGTTTCCCATTAATTGGTTGTGGCTGGAAGGGCATCTGCTATGTAAAACATATGCTGACATAGTTGGTGGTTCATAGTTTGTGACCCCTGTTAAATAAGGGACATTTTGGCTTTATGGGAAGCTGTAGGAAAATTAATGAATGAATGTAAAAGTGAAAATGCTCACTTTCAGCTTTTTTTTTTGTTTTTGTTTTTTGTTCTTACAATAAGACCAGAGAAGCTTAAAATGAGGGTGAGTAAATGATAATTAATTAAGGATGTATTTCGTTATACTTAAGTGATATAGTTGAGTAAGTTTAAGTGACTCAGACAAGGTAAGTGATACAACATTCTTAAACAAATCATATTTGATTGTCATCATCTATGGCTTAACTTGAACTAAAGCCAAGAGTTTAATTTATGTTCAATTAAAGACTGCACATCTTTCTTCTGCAAATATGCAATTAAACTGCATATCATAGTATTCATAATATAAATCTCCACCGAGAAAGAAAAAAAAAAGCCAGTTTTATATTTTCTTTCTTAATTTATGATAAGCCATTGGCAAAAACAACTGTGTGGCTGGTAATGATTTTCTCCCTTGATTTATTCAATTGCGTTTAATCTCACATATCCTATAAATTCCATGACTGTTAAAATAGAGACGGCATCTTTTTTCTTTGATGTTCTGAGGCAGTATTGCTTAACTTCAGAATTAATACATTAATAATACTTCCTTGGCTTTAAACATTAAAAAGGTACCTCTTGCTGAAGGTCTTTGATGATTTTCGTTTTCTTTTCCATCTCCATCTTTAAGAACTTTATCTGCATGGAAAAAAGAAAGCATATTAAAGCCTTAGTGACATTTTGTACAGGAAAATAAGCAATAAACTGGGCATGATTTTTAACTTGATTTATTGAAAAAAAAATATTTTAAATACTTTAAAAGTGTAAAGTTTTGTGCATTGCAATATTTTAAGCAAAACTGTGCAATACTCTTCTAATTTAACCTTCACACTCTGCTCTTAAACCGTAGTCACACTGCACTTTTCACCCCATAGACTTCCATTCATTCAGCAGACCGGAAATGCAAGCTTGTCCAAAATATATATATATATATATATTTACTCGTGGCTTATACTACTTTATAACCTATTACCTTATTAAAATAATGGCTGTTTATTAGTACTCAAAGAGGCAATAACCTTAATAACTATTAGTAAGTATTTAGTATATTATTAAGTGCTGCTTATAAATAGCTATTAAGGTAGTAGTTGGGTTTAGGTATGAGGTAATATTATGAATGTAGAATATGATCATGCAAAATATGTACTTTACTAATAAACAAATAAATTTAGTTTTAATTATAGGCATGTAATAAAGAGAATCCTTCCTGAGTAAAGTGTTTAAATATATAAATAAAAACATTGTATATGAATTATTTCTGACCTGACAATACTGAGAGTACATTTATATATACTGTATGACTGTATTTGAAAGCAGACAAAAAAAAAAAAAAAAAAAATATATATATATATATATATATATATATATATATATATATATATATATATATATATATATATATATATATATATATATATATATATATAATTTTTGTTTGTTTATTTGTTTCTTTCTAATATGATTTATTTGATAATTGTGCTGTGAATCTTTTAAATCTACTTTATTTATTTTTTAGAGAGCTGATTTAGGGGTTTTCCCAGATTGAATTCAGAAAGAAAGAATGAAACCGAATAACAAGTGTATTTCAGACCTTACTGTATATTCAATGTTTATAACAGCAATGCAAATTCATGAAAACCTTTACCCCTGGTGAACTGAACTCAAATGAAAAGAAAATCATATAAAAAAAATATTCCAACACGACCTATATGGAATACAAATGCAGGAGTGAAGGTTTCCCAAAACAATCCCGAGTGTGGAACAAAACAGCCAAAAAAGAATCAGAAGTGTTTACAGCCCTGAGGGTGAACCGCAACACCAATCAAATAGAACGTTCCACTATTGCTCCTTATTCCTTATTCACCAGCTCAGCCCTGAATGTCAAACTTCCTCAACTCTCTCTCTTGCTCTCTCTCTCAGTCTCTCTCTCTCTCTCTCTCTCTCTCTCTCTCTCTCCTGCCTCCAGTCTTTGCAGACACTGACAAAAAATAACAACACATCTAAATACAGAGGTCGAGCAGCTGTGCGTTTCCAGCAGACCTGCGGGTCTATTCAGTCTGATTAGCACTTTAATTGAATTCAGCCCAACTTCACATATTGATATACTGCAGCCAATGCATACATATTTTTTGCAATCTTGGTTTGTGGATTACAACAGAGTGGTGTCTTGATTCTCATTTCCTAGTTTCATGCGGCTTTTGTTTGCAAACTATACAGTATATGCATCCTGAGTGTAATTTTTGGGTGTCTACACTAAAATATTTTTATTTGTCGAAAACTTCAAAGTTTTATGCTGTGATTTTTCAAAATAATTTTAGGAAAGGTAATTGAATGTAAATATCCCAATATTTCCACATTTGTAATAATAGGACTGATTAGCAGTCGTAAAGCAATTGTTTTAAACATCAGTTATAAAATTTCAATTCAAATCCTTAAATTTGTCCCTGGACTAAAAAATCCCTCAGAAGTGAAGATTTGTGAAAATTGAGATTGATTCTATTGATATGTGGTTTATTAGGATAGAACAATATTTTGCTGAGATAATACTTCGAATAACTGGAATCTGATGATTATAAAAGTTATAATACTGAAAAAATAAAACTGCTTTTATAATTGTCCAAATTTTATTCTTAGCAATGCATATTAATTTTCAAACAATTAGGTTTGCCACATTAAAAATCAAAAAATGAGCAATAGCTAAAAATCGATTGCATGGTTAAAAATTATAGTTTTTTTTTAAGCCAGAATTGATTATAATATTAAGCAAAGATTATGTTCTATGAAGATATTTTGTTAATGTCCTACTGTAAATATATCAGCACTCAAATTAGTTGCTTAGCAACTTCAAAACGTTTGAACGTTTGTCATTCATTCATTCGTTCATTCATTCATTTATTTATTTATTTATTATTTAACCCTCAGACTCCACATTTTCAAATAGTTTTGTCTCAATCAAATATTGTAATTAACAAGCAATACATCAATGGAAAGCAGTTTTATTTATTGGTCCAAGTAGACTGAAGTAATGGATTCTCAATATTAAGTTTGTCACGTGCCATGAGTCTTGAATGCCAATTCAAAACTATTGACATATAATAATAATAATAATAATAATAATAATAATAATAATAATAATAACACTATATATATATATATATATATATATATATATATATATATATATTATTTTATTATTATTTTTTTTCCTTGCAAGGGCATCCACAGCGTCAAACTTGTGCTAGATAAGTTAGTGGTTCATTTCGCTGTGGCTACCCCAGTTAAAGAAAAGCTAAATTGAGAAACAGGATTGTACATCTGATATGAAAGGAGTCCCTACAGTGGCATTTGCCAAAAAAAAAAAGGATTAATGAAGACTTTTGCATTTGTTATGTATCCCGTGTGCACGACATAAGTATTGCGTGTGCACGCACATAAATATTGTGTATGCAGTGCACCTACATATTGCATGCACTCAACATAATTAGCACCTGTGTATGGCATAGACAAACATATCACCTGTGCACAACATGCACTGCATGCGGACAACATAGACATACATATCGCGTGCACATGTATGCAGCCTTGTAATTAGTAACTTTTTAAAAATTTTGTATTATTATTTTTAGCATAATAACTTGAATACACCAAGCTTAAATCTTAGATGAAGTCACACAACGATTGGACTGCTTCTACTTGTTTCCAATATGATGCAAGGATAAATGAAGAACAGGTTCTTTGTTTGACTAAAGTGTTTCCTTAAAGGCCCGTGCACATCGAGACGTTATTTGCTCATGTTTTCCATCAACTTTTAGTGCCTCGTGACTAAATAAAGGGCGTCAATGTGATTGTGCACACCAACGCGCAAAACACCAGGTGCAAAAGCTCCATTTAAAAAAAAAAAAAACGCCTCATGCTCGCTTTTTTTATTTGACGCGCTGCGTTAAAACCTTCTCCACCAAACAGGAAGGCACTTTTGTTCACGTGCACAGAGCTGCTGCAGTTACTGTAAACAGCACTTGGAGGCGCTCAAGTGTCAATGCAAGCGCAAATTAAAGAAGATGCCCAGAGATTATATAAACGTGGATCTGCTTATTGCTCTGTGAACATTAATCATTTTTTCATCGCTAGAGCAGGAGCTGCTATTTAAATCATCTATGCTTGTTCGATTCACCAGAAACTTTAACAACAAGCATGTGAACTTCCTCTCTTCCTCTTCTTCTGTGTTACAAGCGGGTTTCGGAAGCTCAAAGTTGAGTAGCGCCATCTAACTTCAAGGAGTGATTTTGCGTACTCTTCTGCTTGATGCCAGTGAAAATCGATTAAGTTTAAATGCAGAAAAACGTCTCGTAAAACACTGATGATAAACACATATGAAAAGCGTCCCGGTGTGTAGGAGCCTTTACTCATTATAGTTTTATGAATTTAAGAAGCAGAAAATATTGTCTTATTTAGTCTAGGATTTGCCTAGGAAAACTCTCTAAAACAGCCTTTGCATTAGGCTTAATTTTTTTATTAAGCTCCATTCACACTTACAGTGCTTTTGTTGCCACATGTTACCAAGATATCTTACTGCAATGGCAAAAACCATCCACTGTTCTCAATTCATTGTTCACATTAAACAATTTATGAAGCAGTTCCCCTCAAATGTTTGTTTTTGGCAGCAAGAAAACCAATTCATATAATACAAAAGGGAGTAAACATCATTCAAAAATGTAACTAGGCAACTGGAATGCCCACTTACGACCTAACCATCAGCCAGTGCCGACAAGCAGCGATAAAGTTGCTGGCAGTCTACATGGGACTTAAGCACTGTGTTCAAGGTCAAGAAAAACAAAGCCCACATAACTAACTTCATAACATGACATATTTATAAGTAACTTGCTTACTGTGTACAAATTTATACAAACAATACACAACTTGCTCATACAAGTTAGACACATACTAATGTCAAACAAACAAGTCACATTGCTTCAAGATTGGCTGAAATTCACATAAACATAACCGTTTTTAAGCTTAACATATACATGCAATACAAATTAATTCTAAGATTTTCAAAATGCATCACTATACTGTTGTGTTGTGTTCATGTAGTTATTAGGTGCGTTCGACTTCATGCAGCGCTGCGCAGATCGATCGAAATCTGTCTTAAAGCGGTGCATTCTGGTTAGAAATCTTGTCCGGATTGATGCTGCGCCGACGCCACGTGACTGTCACATGTGGCATCAAAGTACCGCGACAGCGCTCCGAGATCAGACGGCAAACTCAGACCGTGCAGCATTTGAAGAGCGACTGCAGGAGCTTTGATGACGACACCGATATTACACGATTGGCCGAGTTCACCACATGACAACAAACACGTGTATTTCGGGTTTATAATTGGACAAATTCCGATTCAAAAGTTTCAAAACAAACAATTCACTTTTCACATCCTCTCTATCCTGTACACATCTTGCTTATTAAAAGACTACAAATATTTTACTGCAGTATCATCTTTTGTTAAATAATCTGGTTATAAAGGTATGCTTGTTTGCACAGGTTTATTTTTTAACTTTTTATACAGACTATTTACTGCATTCATCTCCATGAACGATTTAAATGATATATTTTAGTGTATATTTTAGTGAATAACCTAAATATGA